GGAGGAGGAGGAGGGAAGGAGGAGGAGGGAGGAAAGAGAAGGAGGAGGGGCCGGACAAGGCGACAAGGGAGGGGGAGCGGAGGGGAGGCTGGACGAGGTCACAAGGGAGGGGAGGGCAGGGGGGGGGCGTCCTGGAGTCCTGGACAGGGCGACAAGGGAAGGGAGGGGAGGGGAGGAGAAACAAGGGGGAGAGGGAGGAGCAGCAGGAGAGAGAGGATCGATCGATCGAAAGCGCCTCGGAGAGGCCGCGGGGCTAAATGGGAGGAGGAGGAGGAGGAGGAGATAAGAAGACAAACAATCCGTCACCGTGCCTCTGCGCACGGAGTGGGCGTGTCCTCAGGTCCTGGGCCCGATCCTCTAAACCTCAATCCGCACTGCTGAGGAGTCTTGAAGGGGGCCAGACCAAGAGGGCCCCAAGACGGCCCAAGAGGCGCGCAAAACGGGCCAAGAGAGATGCAAGACGGCCCCAAAAGAACCCAAAAGAGAGAGCACGAACCGAAAATCCGAGCCTTCCGCCAGAGGCCCGAAGAGGCGCCCAGGAGGCTCCACGAGGCCCCAAGAGGTGCAAAAGAAGCCCCAAGAGGCCCCCAAACGGCTCCCACGAGGCGTGCAAATTGCCTTCAAGAGGCCCCCGAGAGGGCTCCCACGAGATCCCAACGAACATCCAATAGGCTCCACACCCACAACCCAGGCACGGTGGCGTGATGGGCCGACGGCCATTAGCAACAAAAAAAGCAGAAGAGGGCCAAGAAGACAAATGATGGGACAAGAGTGGTAATGCTGACGATGAGACAATGAGGAAGTGAAGGAGAAGCAGGAGCACGGAAGAGTTGGGGGGAGGAGAGTGGGGAACCGAGGCGTTGGGATAGCAGTTACAATAATGATTAGGTTGATGTTGATGTTGATGCTGATGTTGTTGATGCTGATGATGCTGATGATGATGATGATGATGATGATGATGATGATGAGCAAAAGGAGGAAAATAGACATTGAGGAATACACATGTTTTCGCCGCAGCGCAACAGCGATCCGGACGCGCGCTCTAGTGAGCGGAGGGAAGCAAACATAAGGAGGAGGAATGGTTCTCGAGTTTCTGAACAAGCAATTCTCATTAAAAGCATGGAATTTGAATTTCTATGATATTGCGTAGATTCTGGCGGCGCCGAGGGGTTGCAAATAATAAAACTAAACTTTGGGAAACATAACGGGCGCGACGACGCGGCATAAAACATAACAAAGTTTCGTCTAGCAGGACAAGGCACCGCGGCATGTCGTGGGGTCATTGTACTCATAGCACTGCTCGGAATTATCCGAGGAGTCGGATCGAGCGCCGCGACGCCGCATGATACAACACACTCTTGTTACTAGCACCGAAACCTGCCACCAAGAACTGTGGTTGCGCTTGTGCGTGCTTGCACATGCGCTGGTGGTGGTTGCGCCTGTGGTTGTGCCAGTAGTGGCTGCGTTGGCGGTTGTGTTGTTGGTGGTGTCATCGACTGTGCTGCTGATTGTGCTGGTGGTGGTTGTGCTGCTGGATGTCCTCGAAGTTTTGATGGTGGTTGTGCTGCTGGTTGTGTGTGCTGGTGGTTGCGCTGGTGGTTGTGCTGGTGGTTTTGCTAGTGATTGTGCTGGTGGTTGTGCTGGTGGTTATGATAATGGTTGTGCTGGTGGTTGTGCTAGTGGATATGCTGGTAATACTTGTGCTGGTGGTGTTTGTGCTGGTGGTCGTGCTGGTGGTTGTGTCGGTAGTTGTGCCGGTTGTTGTGCTGATGGTCGTGGTGGTGGTAGTGCTGATGGTTGCGCTGGTGGTTGTTCTGGTGGTAGTGCTGGTGGTTGTACTGCTGGTGGTTGTGCTGCTGGTGGTTGTGCTGATGGTTGTGCCGGTGCTTCTTGTTGTTGCTTGTGCTGGTGATTGACCTTGTGGTGGTGCTGGTCGTTGTGCTGGTGGTTGCGCTGGTGGTGTTTGTGCTGTTGGTGGTTGTGCCCTTTGTTGTCCTGCTAGTTGTGCTGGTGGTTGTGCTGGTGGTTGCACTGGTGGTGGTTGTGCTCGTTGCTGTGCTGCTAGTTGCGCTGGCGGTTGTGCTGGTGGTTGCGCTGGTGGTGGTTGTGAAGCTGGTTGCACTGGTGGTTGCTGTTGTGCTGGTGGCGGTTGTGCGGTAAGTTATGTTGGCGATTTGTTTGGTAGTCTTCGCTTGTGGTTGTGTTGGTGGGTGTGTTGGGGGGTGTTGGTGATCGTTGCGCTGGTGGTGTTGCTTCTTTTGGCGCTGGCGGTCTTGCCCAACCACCACCAGCACAACCACCACCAGCGCACTCACCACCAACAAAATCTCACCAACACAACAAACACCAGCACAACTACCAGCAACAGCACAACCACCAGCACAACTACAATCACAACAACCACCAGCGACGCCAAGAACACATCAACCACCACAACCACGAGCACATCCATTACCGGCACAACCACCAGCATTACCATCAGCACAACCACCAGTACTATCACCAACAGAACCACCAGCACAATCACCACCCGCACAACCATCAACACATTCACCGATACAACCACCAGCACAATCACTAGCACAACAACGAACACAATCACTGGCACAATCACCACGAGCGCAACCACCAGCCCAATCACCACCAGCGCAACCACCAGCACCTCCACCAGCACAACGACCAGCACAACCACCATCAGCACAACCAGCAACGCAAACGCCACCAGCACAACCACCACTCCCAGCACAAGCACCAGCACCAGCACAAGCACCATCACAACCACCAGCACAACTACCAGCACAACCACCACCAGCACAACCACGAGCACATCCATCACCAGCACAATCACCAGCATAACCATCAGCACAACCACCAGCACAATCACCAGATAACGACCAGCAAAACCAGCAGCACAACCACCAACACAATCACCAGCACAACCACCGGCACAACCACTAGCACAACCACCTGCACAACCACCAGCAGAACCACCACCAGCGCAACAATCAGCAAAGCCACCACCAGCACAACCACCAACACAATCCCCAACCACAACCACCTCCAACACAACCACCGGCACAACTGCCACCACCACAAACACTAGCACAACCACTACCAGCACAATCACCAGACACACCACCAGCACAACTATTACCAGCGTATCCAATACCACCAGCACAACCACAAACACAACTACCAACATAACCGCCAACACTACCACCATCACAGCCACCAGCACAACCAGCCACCACCAGCGCAACCACCAGCACGACCAGCAGCACAACAAAGAGCACAACCACCACCAGCGCAACCACCAGCACAACTGCCAGCACTATCACTCGCACCACCACCAGCACAACCACCAACACTACGTCATAGACATTACACGTTTTAATTCAAGTTGTTGTGTATCACTCGAGCGATTTTTCCAGGGCATGGATGGTGTATTGTTGTTTCAATGCGAACCTGGTTTTGGCGCACGCCCGCGAGGTTGAGGCGGGGCATGTCGTCTTAGTTTTTAGTATCCTTGTTGCAAGAGGGAGAACCAGCACAAGATGGATAAGGCGAACGATGGGCAGCAGCAGCAGCAACAGCAAGGAGGCAAGGAGGCAAAGAGCGAGAAAGGGAGAGAGAGAGAGAGAGAGAGAGAGCGCGAAATTAGAGAGCGAGAGGAGTAGAAGGAGAAGGAGGAGGACAAGGACGAGGAGGAGGGAGGAGGAAGAGGAGGAGGAAGCAGGGCGGAGGGGCAGCAGCGCGGAGAGCCCAAGGAGAGGGCAGCTCAGTCCAGCAGGAACACCCTGGAGGCGATGTCCGAGACGAGCCACCGCACGCCCTCCAGCAGGCCCTCGCCAGTATACGCGGAGCACGCCATGATGCACCAGTGTCGGCGCTCTTGGGAGGCTCCAATCGCACCCTCTGGTCTTAGGCCCCCACCTGCCCCACCTCCTCCCTGCCCCCTCTTTCCCCACTCTCCTGCTTCTCGGCCTTCCCCCCTCCTGCCCCTCTGCCTCTCCCTTCCCTCCTCCGCCTCAGCCCTCGCTCGTCCTCCACGTCCTCGTCCTCGTCCTCGTACTCCTCCTCTCCATCCTCCTCCTCCTCCTCCTCCTCCTCCTCCTCCTCCTCCTCCTGCACCTCCTCTCCTCCACCTCTCCTCCTCCACTCTGTTCCTCCTCCTCCTCCCTCATCCTCCTCCTCCTCCGCCTCCATCCTCATCACTCCTCCTTCTGCCGACGCATCCTCCTAACTCCTCCGTCCATCATTTTCCCTGTCTTCCTGCTCCTGCTACCCTCCTGTCCTTCCTCCTTCTTCTTCCCCTTCTTCTCATCCTCCTCCTTTTACTCCGTTTACTCCTCCTCATCCTCCTCCTCTTCCTCCTCCTCCTCCTTCTCCTCCTCCTCCTATTATCATTATTCCTCCGCCTCCTCCTCCTCCTCTTCCTCCTCCTCAGCATCGTCATCACCACCGCCACCTTCCTCCTCTTCCTCCCTGTCCTCCTCATCATCTGCAGCGCCAGCAGCATCACCACCACCATCATCATTCATCACTATCATCATCATCAGCAGCAGCATCAGATCACCATAGTCATTATCATAATAACCATGACCAACACCATCGCCATGAGCATTATCATCGTCATCATCATCCTCATCCTCATCCCCATCCTCATGCTCACCCTCATCCTCATCCTCATCCTCATCCCCATCCTCATCCTTATCCTCATCATCAGAATCAGAATAATCATAATCATCATCTTCAGTTTCATCATCAGCATCATCAGCATCATCAGCATCACCATCACCATCCCCACCACCATCATCACAACCAGCACCATCATAATCATCATCATCATCATCATCAGCATCATCAGCACCATTAACATCATAATCATAATCATCATCATTATCATCATCATCATCATCACCATCACCATCATCATCATCATCATCATCATCATCATCATCATCATCATCATCATCAGCACCATCATCATCATCATCGTCATCATCATCATCATCAACATCATCATCATCATCATCATCATCATCAGCATCATCATCAGCACCATCAGCACCAGCACCATCATCAGCATCATCATCAGCATCAGCAGCAGCAGCAGCATCATCACCATCATCATCACCATCTGTAACGCCGTCATCAGTAACGCCATCACCCCTCCCCCCTTTGGGGCGGCGGCCGCGCGCAGCTCGGCGGCCTCGGGCCACCGAGCCCCCGCGCCGCTCTCGGCGGCTCCAGGCAGCGTGCCGCACCGGCGAGGCGGGGGCGCAGAGGTCCTCGGAGCACGCGCGCCCGCCCGCGGCGGGACGCCCCGAGCGCTGGGCGCTATGGGCGCGCCGAGGCCCACGCCCTGCGGCGCCGGCGGGCGAGGGGCGGCGGCGGCGCGCTGCACCCGAGGGCCACGACGGCCCCTGCTGAGCCTCTCGACGAGGCTGTCGGCGGCAGCAGCGGGCGCCGCCGTCTGCAGTCGAGGCGTTGACCCAAGGAACCCCAAATAAGGAACGAGGCCCCTAGTTCCCATAAGTTAAACTTCGATTTCGTATCGAAAACATAAGGGAAACCTGAGGCAAGCTGTGAAACACTTAAGGAACACGGAGCCCCTCCCCAACGAAAAGGGTTCCTTCTTCAGGGCCCCGACTGTACACTCGTCGCCGTCGTCCACGGCGCTGCGGTCGCAGGGGCTGCAGTGGGCGGAAGCGTCGGCGCGGCACGCCCGCCGACGCCAGTGCTGCCGTCGGGGGCGCCACCGGCGCAGCTGTGGGCGGCGCGGTCTGCAACCACAGTCGCAGTCGAAGCTGCAACCGCGACGCCACAGTGCCGCGTCGCACCGAAGCGCCGCGGTGCAGTGACCACGGCTCGCCACGCCTGCACGGGGCGCCAGCGGCCCCCACCAGGCCACGGGGGCCGGCGAGGGCTTCAAGCGCCAGCTGGGAGGGGCACCGCCCACCAGCGGCACGCACGGCCAGCAGAGCGCAGCGGATGCGCCAAGAGTGCACCGCTCGACCCAGGCACCCTCGCCCGTGGCAGGGGGAGCGAGGATGCCGTACCAGCGAGCCAGCACGGCCCTCAAGCGGTTCCATGACAGTCTGGCAGTGTGTCGCGGTCCGTCTGGCGAACGGCGATCCCGTTGGACTGGTTGTCGACGTTACCCTCGGACGTACGGTCGGCCGTAATTATGCGTAGCTGTCGGACTGGCAGTCGGCTTCGCCGTCTTGCTGGCAATCGGTGTCGCGTTCGGACCGGCTGTCGGAGTCGCCGTCGAGCTGGCTGTCGGCGCTGCCGTTGGACTAAGGTGGACTGGCAGTCGGTGGTGCCGTCGGTGTGGCCGCAGGCGCTGCCGTGGGACTGGCAGTCGGTTTTGTCGTCATGCTGGTAGTCGGTGCTACAGTCGGGCTGGCAATGGGCGTTGCCGCCGACCTTGCAGTCGGAGTCAGCCAATGTTGCCTTTGGACTGGCAGTCGGCGATGCCGTAAGTCAGGCCGCAGGAGTCGCCGTCGGACTGGCAGTCGGCAACCCCGTCCTGCTGGCCGTCGGCGTCGCGGTCCGACTGGCAGTCGGCGTAGTTGTCGGACTGGTCGTCGGCGCTGCCGTCGGTCTGACAGTCAGCGTCGCTGTCCTGCTGGCGGCCTGTACCGCGGACGGACTGGCTGTCGGCAACGCGGTTGAACTGGCAGTCGGCGTTGCCGTTGGACAGGCAGTCGGGATCGCCACTGAACTGGCAGTCGGCGTTGCAGTCGGACTGGCAATCGGTGTTTCCGTTGTGCTGGCGGTCGGCGTCGCCATTGTACTGGCAGTCGGCGATGCCGTAGGACTGGCCGTATGTGATATTGGCGGACTGGCAGTCGGCGTTGCCATTCGGACGCCTGTTGGACTGGCAGTCGGCGACGCCCTCGGACTGGCCGCATGCACTGCCGTCGGACTGCAAGTCGGTATTGCCGTCCCGCTGGCACTCGATGCCGCGGTCCGGCGGACCGGCAATCGGCGTTGCCGTCGGATTGGCAGTCGGTGTCATCGGGCGCGGCCTAACCGACCCCCTGAGCAAACCATGTCCTTCTGTGACGTCACCCTCACCTTTCAAGCCCACTCTGGCCGCATGCATGAATCTCGGCTGGATGCGAGGGGGGCGTCACGGAAGGGAATGGTGATGTCACGGCCGAACTGGCAGTAGGCATAGCCGTCGGGCTGGCCGTAGGCATTGCCATCGGACTGGCAGTCGGTGTTGCCATAGGACTGGCAATGGGCGTTACCATTGGACTGGCAGTCAGCCGCGCCGTCGGTCTGGCCGTAGGCGTTGCCGTCCGACTGGCAGTCGGCGTTGCCAGCCTGCTGGCAGTCGGTGTCGCGGTCAAACTGGCAGTCGGCGTTGCCTCTGGACAGCCAGTCGGTGACGCCGTTGGTCTGGCCGTAGGCGTTGCCGTCGGACTGGCAATCGGCGACGCCTTCGGACCAACCGTCGGCGTTGCCGCCGGACTGGCAGACGGCGTT